ATTATTATGGCACATAGAATATTTATCTCATTCGATCTACGGTCCATGTTATTGTATATTAGTTTGATTGCACATGTCTGTAGTCCGCATGCAAGCATTTGAGTTCTATTGCGGCGACCAAATGAAAATAAGAGAAAAAAAGCGCAAACGTATGCGATCGTGTATTATTGCGAATGACAGAAGAGATGCGATAGATTGCAAATAACATACTACTGACTACTACTCTAACTCGAAATTAACCGCAAACTATCTGCTCCGCACGGGTGACTGCGTAAAATTCGATGGTACGATATATTCAGTTCGTTGTCTCTCTTGCTATTGATCAGATGTCTATTTGATACAGAGCAGTGATTTTTAAATTGGTTTTCACGTGAGTTTTTTTTAATTTCATTTGTTTTTATTGTTTCATAACACAAGAATAATGATTTATAATTTAAAAGATACTCAATTTTTTTATTTTTCCATTTATAAAAGCGAGGAAAATAGTGGTTAGTAGTTGGTACTGTGCAATTTCAACTCGAAAAATTGAGTGAGTGAAAAACAATTTAGAGATGCTCTTCTTTAGTGGCACATACGCGTAGTATATTTATAAATACTTTCACCAGTTGCGCCACCGCAAAGCGTTGCGTACGTCGCAAAGATGTGCGTATCGATCGCAAGCAACTAATGGTTGAAAACAAAAACACCGACATAGTGAACTTCACCGGCCTTGAAGTGTTCGTTTAAAATTGGAATATTGCGAAGAGAGCCGATGACAGATTGATCACTGCAAATTGTTTGATTTTATTGTTAAATTGAAATAAAACCGCTCTAGATTAGGACAACTGTTTAAAAATTCAATGAAATCAGACGCAATCTTACAGAAATTGTCGTTTTTTGAATTCTATTCGAAAGATATTGACAAGTGCTAAGGGTTTTCCCGCTATTATGGATACGATTTGAAGTCATCACTTGTTATTTTAAAAAAATCGGTGCATTTTGTTGTAGCTTTATTGAAATCTTGTGCAAAAAATTGATAATAACAGCCTTTTTTTTCATTTTCAATGACAGACCGTCATTAACGGTGAATACGGCAGTGTTATGGCATTTGGAATATATTTTCAATAAATATCGATAGATTTTAAATATATCATGACACAACTCAACAGCTCAACAACTCAACAACTCATTAACTCACAACAATTCTTCAGAGAGAGAGAGAGAGAGAGAGAAAAGTTGAATGCGTTCAGTACACCATGAAATTGTTGTTACTCATTGATTGATATATTTATTCAATGACCCATTTGATTAAAACTGTAATTGACAGGAAATGGGGTTGTATTCAAATTCCACTGGAATTCATCACGGCATTGACGTGTGTGCAATTAGTTTATTTTTTAATTAAAATTATACGTTACAGTTTGGTTTGGATCGTTCATTTCCAATTACCACATTATAGTTTTGTTCGTTCTGGAATAGATTATCAGCTTAAAATGGATTCCAGGGTGGTATCATTCGTGTTTGTTGTGATTTTATCCATAAGTAGCATCAATTCTTTGAAAATTCTTGGATTATTTCAACATCCTGGCGTCAGTCATTTTCACTTCTTCCATCCGATAATGCGAGGCTTGGCCGATGCAGGTCATGATGTTACGGTTGTCAGTCATTTTCCAGATAAAAATGCCCCATCGAACTATAAAGACTTGGCTTTTGAAAAAACCGAAATATTAACCAACTCGGTGGACTTAGAGGTAGGTCATAGATGAAAAAAGTCGAAAATTTAATTAGCTTTCCTTGAACAGCTTGATCAACTGTTTTATTGGTGAATCCTTATAAATTTTTAAGTGAATTTTCTCATGGTTTTACAGTTGTTCTCTCATCGTCCATGGTATCAACCATTTTTGGAATTTGCCAGCCTACATCAGTGGGGATGTGACGCATGTGAACTGGCATTAAATTCAACAGTTATACAAAATTTGTTGAATACCAAACCAAAGTATGATGTGATTTTAATGGAGCAATTCAATGCTGATTGCATGATGGGCGTTGCTTGGAAGCTAAAAGCACCGGTCATTGCGTTAAGCAGTTGTGTTTTGATGCCATGGCACTACGATCGATTTGGCCGTCCATGGATGTTATCTCACATGACAGGACAACCCATGGGTTTTTCTAATCATATGACCTACACCGAACGTCTGCTGAATTTCTTCTACATGAATTCATACAAAATTATGTACAAGTAAGAATTGAATTGTTCTTCGTGTATCTGCCTTATTCTCCTATTGTTGTTATTTGAGATTTATTTTTGAAATGATTATTCATTTTTAGCCAGATTACAATGAAAGAAACGGATAAAATCACGCGAAAATATCTTAGAGATGAAAATATGCCACATTTGAGTGAATTAATCAAAGAAACCAGCATGATGTTTGTAAATACACACTTTTCGTTACAAGGCACAACGCCGAATCCACCAACAATTGTGGAACTTGGTGGAATCCATATTAAAGAAGCAAAACCGTTGGATCCCGAACTGAAAGCGGTTTTGGATGCGGCCACAGATGGAGTGATTTATGTCAGCTGGGGTTCAATGATACGATCAGCAACATTACCTGATGCTAAACGAAGCAGTTTACTCAAAGCCTTTGGTTCGTTAAAACAAACGGTTTTATGGAAATGGGAAAATGAAACACTTCCGAATCAACCGGGAAATGTGCATATTAGAAAATGGATGCCACAAAGAGAGATATTATGTAAGCTCATTGGAAATTATTTTCAAAATCAATCATTTATTCGTTTCATTTTATTTTCTACGTTTTTAGGTCATTCAAATGTGCGCGTGTTTGTCAGGTGATTTCTTTTTGATGCAAATTATAAAATCTTCTTGTAATTTTCCTAAATTTATATTAAAGTTTGAATGTGCTCCATTTTACAGCCATGGTGGTTTGATGGGAAGCAGTGAATCGGCTTATTGTGGTGTGCCAATAGTGCTTACCCCAATATATGGCGATCAATTTCATAATTCAGCCGTTCTGAAAGCTCGCGGAATGGGTTTTATTGTTCATTATGAAGATATCACAGAAGAATCAATCAAATCAGCCATCAATGAAGCACTAAAACCTGAATCAATGGAAAACGCTAAAAGAGTGTCATATTCGTATCAAAATCGCCCGAAAACGCCACTCGAAACCGCCATTTGGTGGGTTCAATACGTAGCAGCCACGAAAGGAGCTCCGTTATTGAAATCACAATCAATAAATATGTCAACATTTACATACTATTCATTTGATGTGTATGCCACCATTGCAATCATCCTCTTTCTTCTAATAAGTCCATTCATTTATGCGACACGCAAATGCAGTAGAAAATTTAAGGCGAACAATTGTAAATCCAAAAAGGAATAATTTTATTCATACATGTGATCAATACATTGATTTCAATAGTTTATTTGCATACGAAAAGAAAGCAGCAAAATATGTGTGATCTTTCATTATGTTAACACAAGAACCGTTAAGTCATTCGCACAAAAATAGATTTATGTAATACTTTTTGAATGACTAAAACACCGTTCTAGGCACAAATGTTTCACTTAAAATTTGTTCCCAAAAAACAGATTATGTGACAAATGCGTGATAATGTTAATAAATTTGAATACATATCGAACTAGCCGGCCCTTTTCCCATTCAATACTCGTGGATCACTCTTGAATGCTTAAGATTTCAAAAATCAAGCCTTCAAGAAAGGAGCTCCATATGGTCCCGTTCACGTAAGACGAAACCACGGAAAAAAAAATTGAAAGTTGCAAAAAATCTTCTTAACGTTATTAGATCGCTATGAAATGTTCTCCAAATTGTTACCTAGGGGGTAGGAACACAAGCGCTTGAGACGAATTCGTACGAATATTCGTGAATTCTTGTGATTGTGTATACAAGACATTTGCAGCGCAGTGAGTGTACAACAACAATAACGAAGCCACGAACGCATGAATATATGCGAATACATACGAATGACACAACTTGTTCCTAGCCCCTAGATTGTTACATAAACTCAATTTTTTCTGAGAATTTCATGAAATTTTGCTTATTTTTTCTTGTCAAAATTGCCAATTAATAGTTATTTCGTCAAATTTTGTGATTTTTGACTTTTTTTGGACTCGTTTTCGAGGGCGTGAATTTCTATAAAAAAATGCACTAAATCGGTAAGTCGATTATTATTGTATTTCTTCCTTCATACATTGTATAAGTTTTCAGATTTTTTCATGTCCATTTATATTAAGAATGAGATATAAATTATTCAACAACTTAGTGCATAAATATGCATCTAACCAATAAAGAATATAAGATGATTTAAAATCATTCTAGACCACTAGTCCAAAATTGTCGTTCTAACATCGTTGCAACCGTAAATTGCGTTATTCTCCATTCATCTTTGAATTCCAGCCAAAAGTTGTTGTCGAATAGTTTTAGATTTTCGCTGAAAAATGTCACCTTCCTTAGATGTTTACTGTTCTTTATGAATGTTATAACACTTTCATCCCACACATTTTCACCAATGTACAATGTTGTTTCAACCAATTTGGAATCGACACCTACAATTCTCATAAACTGTTCATTATCAACGTATCCTCCATCCATGAATAACTTCTCCAAATTCTGGTTTCTCTCGGCCAATATGAACCAATCTGAAGTAGCTTCGATGTGTAGTTCCTTGAGATTTTTGAAAAATATATTAAAAGGTACTTCACCCATTCCAGTAACCAGCGTGAAATTCGTAACATATTCAAAGATGATATCTTCAGCATCACCTTCATTTGGTTCACGACGTGGATTATAGCTGATAAGAGTGAGATCGGTGATATTACGTAGGACTTTGTAGACAATATTCAAAAATTTTGGACTGCTGTAAGTCAATGACAATGCCTGAATTTGTGGATTTTTTCTGAGAAGTTTTTCAATATCAGTTTCATTGGAACAAAACTGTGTCGGTTCATCATTGTAACACAATTGCACGTACAAGTATTTTAAATGGATAAATTCTTGGTCGATGCATTTATTGTTAGTAATTTGAAGATGCTGCAAATACAAATCATGTACCGCAGGAAATAGTTCGACGAATGAAAGATCGGAGCTGGCTAAAGTTTTGAATTGACCACCTAGAAAAAGAACTTTAACTTTTTCGAATGGTTTTATCATATCTCTGAATAGATTGACGTCACGAGCGTCTACACTGAGTTCAGTCAGACTTGCAGAACAGTATAAATTGATGAATTTATTGATTTTGCTTGGATTATTCCGAGATATGTAGGATTCTGAATATTCAACTCGCAAGGATGAAATCAAATGGCCGAACATTTTCAACACTTCCAAAGCCGTATCGAAGTGGCAGATGAAAATTCTCTCGGTATTACCGTAAATTGTAGAATATTTAGCTTCCATGTGTGGATCGGTGATGAAAACAGTTTTATTTGAATACTTCCGTTTGAACAATTCCATGGCTTCATACGTAAGACTTTTATTTGAACCAACCAACGTAATCAATTCATATATATCCACTTCACCGAGTTGTGCTTCACTTATTGCACTTATTTGATTACCTCCTGAAATCTATTTGATATTTGCAAAATAATGGAGAATTTATTGTACTTTTGCATAAAATTTAAAATTTTTGCGATTTTTTTTTTTTTCAATTTAAAACTTACGTGTTTCGAGCGCAAATAAAACAGAACTATAACGAAACATATGAACGCAAAATATTTTCGATACTTCATTTTGAGTTTCATATTCGTTTAAAACGATATTTTGAAGTGAATTCACTTAAGTGACTGAAGCAAATCCATATTGATTTGTGTATTGAAGTTCGAACGCATTGTTATCTAATCTATTTCAGCTATTATGATTTAAAATGTGTCGAAGATTGAGAAGAAATTTGGTCAAAACTCAATATAAACACGAGTTGTAATATTTGTGACAGATAACAAGACAACGTATTATTCTATCGAACAAAATGGATTGAGATAAGAACGATTTGGTTATTTGTCATTCGTTTTTGACAACTGAACACCCATTTTTACAGAAATTTGTAAGGTTTGAATAAACTTTTGTCTTTGACTCACATGTTTAGAATGTTTTTCATTTTGTAAAAATGGACAACACTGGGTCCATATATGGGTGAGATTGAAAGTAGTGTACGTTTAACTGGCTTTGTATGGTGAAGAGTAAAGTATGTTGTCAAGTGGTCAACAAAACTTAAAATAAATAATTTATTTCAATAGATATTTGTTCATTGTCTTTAGCAAAGTTGTGCAGTTTGAAAAGACCAATAATTTTTTTGATGACACCAATTCTTTCATTCTTTATTTGTTGTCAAAAACTCAATAAAAACTGAATCTCTTCTGATCCATACAATTTTTTGTTACCAATGTTAGTTGTTTTCCTTATAGCTATTTATCGGTGTTATGACGAATTCTGTGATAATATGTTATTTCAAAGTTTGTTTTGGGTTGATTAAGCGATTGAATATTCGTTATGAAGCGATTTTGCATTGTGAATTCTTGTACATGAATCTATCATACTTTTTTTGGCGCTATATATTGCTTTTGCAGCAACCGTTTGAAATTGAATAAATTCTCTAGTATTAACCCTCGCTGGGTTTTGCGATTTTGACTCAGGTTGGTATTTTTTTCGGCCTTTGTAATTTTTTTGTTCTATATGATTTTTGCAATATTGATCTCATCACTTTTTGGTCAATAACTCATCCAGAATCGGAAATATTGTCTTACTTTTTCGAACGAAGTTGTAGCAAAGAGTCCAATAAACAAATTTGATGAACAAACTATACATGAAAAATCCCATCTAGTAGGTGCTATGGAACAAAATGTCGAAAAAATGGACGATTTTTTCAATTCTTCAACCATAACTCGCAGCGTATCAAATTTTTCTGATCACTATCTTCAACAATTTTGTAGCCAACGTATAATTGAACAACTTTTCTCAACATACTGAACCAGAAAAATCATGTTTTGTCTACCTTTTGGGCTAAAAATCACTCTTTGGTACCAAAAATGGTCAATTTGTTGAGAATTTTGGCCTATTACATGCAAATAGCTGTATATCTTTCCATATTTGTCATTTGGATTTTCAATAAAGTGTCTCTGCGGATGAGACGAACTTGTTTTTCAGCTAGTTTAGTGAGAAAAATCGCTCATTTGTAGGGGAATTTCGAGTTTTGGACCAATTTTTGAGCGTTTGGTAGACATTTGGCCAAATTAAGTCATGACAAAGGCCATATTTCAGTTTATATTTTATGCTAAAATAAAGATTATATTCACAGCTAAAAAATACGGCTAATACGATCTACCTATGATGTCCAGTTGGAAAGTTATGTCCTCCCAAGTGATGACATGTTCATTTTTTGCACTATTTTGGCACTAATCATCGATTGGGCTTCCATAATCACCCTACCAGACGTCATAGGCATGTGGCATTAGCCTGGTTCTTCAGCTAAGAACATCAGCTTTAAAATGCCATACTGCTAAAACCACGATCCGATAGCATGTGAATTTTTAAGTCACAGAAATGTGTACGTGCTTTACATGTTTATTCATGTTTAAACGATTGAAACTTGCAATTTTGACTACTTTCAGGCGTTGTTGTTGTGTTTTTCAATGCAATTAAGATAGAAACTTTGTGATTACATGTTAGTTCATGAATATTTTCACTAGTTTCGCTCTTCTCACATTCTGTACATTCAGTGTAATGTATTTTTGGTGAATAAAAATTAAAAAACTGAAATATTTCATATGCCATGACTCAATGTTCACCGAACTACCAAAAATTGGTCCAAAAACCAATTCTTTCCATAAAAATGAATTTATTTCCACTCAAATATTAAAAAAAAACATTACATTCAAGCTTATATTATCTGTACCAATGTTTGAATAATTTTTAAAGATGTTTTTCAGTGTATTTGAGTGAAAAATTTGATTTTTGAACCAATTTTGGGGTGCTGTGGTGGACATTAAGGCAAATCAAATCATGGTATATGAAATATTTCAGTTTTAGCGGTATGGCATTTTAAAGCTGATGTTCTTGGCTGAAAAATAATTTCGTTCCAGAAAACAATGTCAAACAATTGGTGGAATTACAATTCCACCTGTGCAAATGTGCAGAATTTTGCGTTCCTTATCAAATGGATCGCATCGAAAATACGTTGTTTAGTTCATTCTTTCATCACCATGGTTTGAAAAACAACGCAATTCGATCGCAATGAATTGCAAATTCAAGCAAATATTTGTCACTCTTGAAATGTTGAGTGGTGTTTATTCGATGTAGCTATTTGAATATGAAAATGTTCACATCTTCGCGGCATTCTCAAAACTCGATCCGTTTCAAAGTCGTTTCAAAGTCGTTTCAAAGCTAAAAAATAACAACAGATGGATCATCGCTGACATGATGTAAATTTGAAAGCGTTTGATCAAACGATATGACTCATACCCTTGTGTTACATTCAGGCTCACGTACCATGGTTGCGTTGAATAAACATCCAATAGTTACAATATTAGCTCATACAAGGATATATGGAATTATATTAACTTTACATCACTCAAAAAGGTGAATACCAACGAAACCATTGCCTTAATTATAAGTAACACTTTCTATAGAGATATGGACAGTTTTTCTACTATTCTGAGATTCCAATGAATGTACTTGTACAGTGTACACATACGGAAATAAGTATTTATAATCTGGGATATATAAAACAGAAGAAAAAAAATCTGTCAGAAATTCTCTCGCTGGATTTCTTCAACAAACATTTTATTTGAATGTGATGTGCTCTTCACAGCGTTGATTCATTGGAGTATGCAATTTTCATTTTATTTATTATTCAACGGCTCCTTTGCCCTTGAGAAGTTTAGCGATATCCGTTTGACCTGAAAAATAACACAGATCGATGAAAAAAAATAAAACTGTTTTCCTATTTAGTGAGAACAAATAATCAACATTACCCCGCTTAGTTGCTATTTCAAGGGGTGTTTCTCCCCATTGATTTTTCATTTTATAATTAGCTGAATTATTGAGTAGAAGTTCAGCGAAATTCTTATGACCTGAAAAATAATTTTGACCGATGAATAAGATCAAATCAATCTTTTATTTAGTGAAATTCATAAAATCTCGTAGACAGCGTTTTTAAGGTGTAGAAACGTATATAGACACCATTCCGGAGCACAGCAATCGTGTAATGTGTAAGCTATATGTACACGATTTATGGTGTGGCTGAAAAACCTGATATGCAATTGAATCCCACCATATCGTGTGAACGCTTACCGTACGTCTAAGTACTGAGTGTATGTGTGAGTACAGTACAGCCAGCACTCACACGATATGGTGTGATTCAATTGCACATCGGTTTTTTCCGGCCTACCATAAATCATGTACACATAGCTTATACATTACACGATTGATGTGCTCGGGAATGGTGTCACGAGATTTTATGAGAAGTATTCAAAATTACCTTTGAAAGCAGCTATATGAAGAGGTGTCAAAAGGGCATTATCCACACTATTAACAAAGGCTCCTGCACGGATGAGAAGTTCAGCAATATTCTTGCGACCTGAAAATCGATGGAAAAAGAGATCAAATCAATCTTTTATTCAATCAAAATCAATACTACATTACCATGGAAAGCGGCTTCATGAAGAGGTGTCTCATTCGAGTTATCTCTACTGTTAACAAGGGATGAGTTTTCAGCGATGAGTTTTTCAGCTTCCTTTACATCACCTGAAAATTAATGCAGACCAATGAAGTCGATTGAACAAAGCATTTTTTTAAAACATAAATGCTCGAAATTACCATTCTGAGCAGCATTATGCAGAGCTGTTTTTCCATTTTTGTATACTAAAAGTTGAAAAATAGAAGACCAGTGAAGTGAATCGAAAGAAAATGTTGCGTACAATGACGCAGTATGCTGTGTGAGTGAAACTTTACAAAGAAATGGAGCTTCAATCTTACCGGTTCTCCCAGATGGTGTTCCACTCACATCCACGATCAGGAACTGTGGAAATGAAACAAAGTGATTAAATTGTAATGGAACAATGGATGAGATTGAAATGGTTTTCAACCGTTTTTCATTCGAGTAAAAGTTTCCGATGAACATTATTTTTGTAGTGGAAAATTTTTTTCAATTGAAAAACTTTAAAATGGACATTTTTTCATTAATAATGAAATGAGTTTCGAAAAAATTATCACAAATTGTCCACAAAAAGAATCAAACATGTGTTTTAAGATTGCTGAGCATCTCAGCATTTCGTAAGGCACGGATATATCCGAGCATATCGACGACGCATACAGTGGCGTGCGTTGCTACACGACCGGAATGTGTATGTTGTTGCTGCGAACACAATTCGGTCGAGTCGTTGCGGCTGCACGTAGCAACACACGCCACTGTATTATACAGTATGCGTCGTCGATATGCTCGGATATATCCGTGCCTTACGAAATGCTGAGATGCTCAGCAATCTTAAAACACATGTTTGAAAAGAATCAAATGTAAAAGATTCAATCGAAAATTTACAAGTGAAAAAAATTCCAAGCAACATTAAAATTACAAATTTCAGACTTAAATTGTCGTCTCACCTCCGATACCACCAAGCCAACGAACAGCAGTATAAAAGATCTTTGACCCAACATTTTTCCAGCTTCGAACTATCAAAATTGTACTGTAAACGTGTCAATTGAAGAAAATTGACGAACTGTTTGATTGACAAACGAATCGAGCGCATCTTCTTATATACTTTTCAAGTATGGTCACATCAGCAATACATTAATGATATTATTAAATCCACTTACAAAGACAATTCTAATTAAAGCTCACAAAATATTATCGCACACATTTTTCAAGAAAACAATGTCAAACATTTGGTGGAATTACAATTCCACCTGTGCACGTGTGCAGAATTTTGCGTTCCTTATCAAATGGATCGCATCAAAAATACGTTGTTTACGTTCATTCCTTCACTAAAGTTTGAAAAACAACGCAATTCGATCGCAATGAATTGCAAATTTAAGCAAATATTTGTCACTCTTGAAATGTTGAGTGGTGTTTATTCGATGTAGCTATTTGAATATGAAAATGTTCACATCTTCGCGGCATTTTCAAAACGCGATCCGTTTCAAAGTCGTTTCAAAGTCGTTTGAAAGCAAAAAAATAACAACAGATGGATCGTCGCTTACATGATGTAAATTTGAAAGCATTTTTGGAAAGTTTTTTGACTTCGATTTCGAGGAGGAAAAGAGATGGATGTATACAACTTGTATTCACCATCTCTTTCGATGGAAGTCCAAAACCTTATGACGTGCGTCTTGCTAACTCCCTGTGATATATCCCAGATTATAAATACTTATTTCCGTATGTGTACACTGTACATTCATTGGAATCTCAGAATAGTAGAAAAACTGTCTATATCTCTATAGAAAGTGTACAGTACAGTTGAGCAAAGTTGTTCAATTATACTTTGGCTACAAAATTGTTGAAGATAGTGATCAGAAAAATTTGATACGCTGCGAGTTATGGTTGAAGAATTGAAAAAATCGTCCATTTTTTCGACATTTTGTTCCATAGCACTAGATGGGATTTTTCATGTATAGTTTGTTCATAAAATTTGTTTATTGGACTCTTTGCTACAACTTTGTTTGGAAAAGTAAGACAATATTTCCGATTCTGGATGAGTTATTGACCAAAAAGTGATGACATCAATATTGCAAAAATCATATAGAATAAAAAAATTACACGGGCCGAAAAAAATAACAACCTGAGTCAAAATCGCAAAACCCAGCGAGGATTTTGCTTGCCATAGGAGTACTTCACTCTCATGGTGGTCATGCCCAATTACTTTTTTTCACCCAAAATTGGTAGCACAGTGTTATTAATTGATAAAATACACAATTATCAAGTAATCTAATCAACCGCAGAAATTCAACCAAATTTAAACCCCGATTTAACGCCTTAAAACCTAATATAGAGGGAATATACAAGTATAATATTACATTTATTGTTTATTCATAGTTCTACCTTGTGGCGGCGACAAACATAGACATCTGCCAAATGCTACCAAATGTTTTATTTTTCTTTTTAATTCTATGAGATTTTCTGGGTGTCAACCATGACAGAGACAGCCTTATTAACAAATAAATGAACAAATATACATTTTTTTGTTATTATTATCACTACTTATTATCAAAAAATTTTTTTAAATGCTAACCAAATGTGAACCGAAAGTATTTTGTAATTGGCCCAGCCTCTTGGTAAAAAACTTTTTTTTCCATGGTTTTGAATTATATTGAATAGAGAAATAAAGGAATTATAATAGCCTTATTATAAACGAGTTTCTTTCACTTGATTTGATTCGATTTCATTTGGAATATTTACAGTGGTACTTGGAGCGTTGATAATAAATGGATTTATTATCGGATATGAATTCGATGGTATTTCAAAAAAGGTGTTGCTGGTACTTGGCAATAGGAAACAAGGGGAAGTTGAGGGCGAATGAGCTGAATCATATCCCGAACTCATATCACTTGCATCAATCTTCTCATCTGGAGATGTTGTGCTTGCACCTACATTTATTAAGTTTGATTCATACTCTGCATCATTTTCATCGTCTTCATCCCCATCAATACCTTTCTGTGCATTCGAGTGAAACTTTAGCAGTATCTCTTTTAATTCAGCGAATGTTGGACGATCATTGGGATTTTCCGCCCAACAAAGATCATGCATCACGTTATACCTGAAGATAAAAAATAATCCTATACTAGAGTTTCATTTCGATCGGTTCAATGTTCATTATTATAGGTAATGACATTTTCTTAAGGCTTAGCGTTTCATTAGTTATATATGCTTACATCCTTTGTGTAGTAGTAGTTTCATCATGTTTCAATCGTTTGCCATCTTTTAGTTCTTCAAAAGAATACAATTCTGGAGTTTTTCCCAATGAAAATAACTCCCAAATTATTACACCAAACGACCAGACATCACACTTTTGACAAGCCATTGGACTATAATCGAATTTAATTTCAGTCGATTCTTCAGGATCTTCATCTCTACGCAATTCCATCGCCATCCACCGATATGGCTTAGGAGTCTGTGGATCCAACAACATTTAATACAATAAGTCACTATTGTCATGTATCAGTCTATGTACAAAGCTACTTTACCAAATTCGATTGCGTATATTCATAACCTTCGCGCACCTCCTTTGCAATACCAAAATCACCAATTTTAACACTCATATCCTCATAAATTAAAATATTTCTAGCAGCTAAATCACGATGGAAAATATTTTTTGAAGCCAAAAACGTCAATCCATCTGCCATTTGAACCGACCAAGCATAAATATCGATTGTTGAAAATGTTTTCCCCGAAGGTGTTAAAGTTGAATTGATCTGTGATTCAGGAGAATCAACTATAGCGAGAAAAAAACATCATTTTCAGACAATATATCAAATATTCAAATTAACTCCCTAAAAATTACCTCCAATATTCACATTGGCATTGGTGTTTCTTCTATAAGTTCTTTGTTGATTTTCAGGATTACTGCAATTTTTTTCATTTAAATAATTGAATTCGATTATAATCAAAAGTAATCTGATATATAAATAGCTATGCTTACCCGCTGTTTGTTGGTGGATCTGGTTTCGTTTTTCTGTAATTTATTATGTACTCATCCGCGCATTCAACTTGATTTACAAAAAAATCGCTATTTTTTGCTAAGAAGCACCGCATATTTCCATATGCACATAGTTCATAAACGATCATTATTTCACCTGTTGAATATCAGACATTGAATAGTGGTGGTGGTGGATGATACATTCTGCACATACAAGATACATACATTCGTCATTAAGGGGATCCCCAGTCACTGAACCAAGATATCTAACAATATGAGGATGTGGTGGCAATTGTCTCACGATGTGTATTTCCTTCATTAGCTCAGATAGTCCCTGCATAATGTAGAATATACAATTTTTCAAAGAGAAGATAAAAAAAATGCACTAAGACATACCGAATAGTTATGCTTGTGCGTTTTGATTACAACTTTTATTTCTTTGCCAAAAGTAGCACAGGGCAGACCGAGCGAAATTGGCATTATTTCTCCTTTATGAACATCACCGGTTATACCGGTACCGATTAGTTCTCCTTTCTTTATTCTTTGTTTTAACTGCTGCGCGCGATAATTATGATAACACCCAAACATCACAAGCAATGACAGACAAATCATACCACAACCAAAGATCACCCAAACGAGCACTGCGAATTAAATTTGAAACAAATATATATGAAGTATGTGTTTCAGGTAAAAGTTTGGCAGAAAAAAATCATTTCTGATTGAAATTTATCGCTTTCGCTTTTATCATATGAATAAATTTAACTTTATTACCTCTTGGACCTCGATTGTCTCTAACTTCTAGTCGGAAATCTTTGTTTATTTTTTTGCCATTGTCAGCGATCAGAGTATAAATTCCGGAATCGTTGATTGTTAAATTTCTTACAATCATAACCACAACTTTTTTTTCACGATCATGGTGGGCGACTTTTCTCAATGTATCATCCTTCTTCTCTATCCAATCAATCGATTTGTTATTACTATCGTACCAGGTGAAATTTGGCTTGGGATAAGCTGAATATTTTACCACCAAAATAAATTCATCTGATACATTCATGGAGATATTGGAGTTGAATTCCGGTGGAGTGTTAAGATTGAGGAATGTTTCGTTAGCAGCTGTAAAAACATCCCAAATTTAGCGTGTTTTCGTGTTAATCAAGTGATTGTTCTATTTTTACCCAAAATCCGTGTTATATTCCGTGTAGCTTTACGTTCATTACCGTATGCATTAGTTACAATACATGTATATACACCAATGTCTTGTGCTTTATTCACATTTCGAATGGTCAGATCGCCAGTTTTGTTGTTCCAATCCGCCCGATTTTCCTGAATTCAGATTTTTTTTTAAATTTAAATTTTAATTGGAATACGTATTTGAATCAACGACATATAAAATATTTCTTACAGTTTCAATACTAGGAAATTCCCATTTAAATATACGATTTACGATATCGATATATATGCATTTAAGTTCAAGTGTGGATCCTTCGATGGCAAAATCATCCGTTTTGAATGTTATCATAGTACGTTCATCGCAACTGTAGCCTAATATGATCAATTGAACATTATTTTTAGATGTAGAAAGTACATTTTATAGGTTGGAGTGTCATTTCTTGGACGACAATTTGAAGAATGGACAAAAATAGTATTTTAATTCGAAATTCAAATACTTACTCTTATCAACATCAACATGAACATTGAGTTGTGCATGCGAATCATTGTCTTTTGTACACGTAAACTGAATATCATTCTTATTGGCAAGTTTATCATAAGTCGCCCGATAAATTGTAGCCTTTTGCAATAGAGCTCGTTCCTTAAAATCAGCGGGGAAAAATTCGTGAAAATAATGAGTAACACAAATGCGATTATTACTACATGGGCTGAAAAGTCTTTGGCCTGATACAGAAATAACGAAAATACTGCCAAATCCACATTAGTTTTAGATAAAACCATCCTTAACTAGAACTCAGTCAAAATTTGAGCCAAATCGGATGATCAGTTTGCGAGTTACAGCGTCTTGAACCAATCTACTTTTGATTTTTTCAAAATCAGAAGAAAAATAATTTTTTTGTGACGGTTTCGCGCTTACATTTCAAAGACATAATTATTAGAAAAATCAAATTCATATTGGAGTTACTTTACGGTATCCCTTAAGCATTGAAAATAACCTGAATGTATAAAGATATTTAATTCAGACGTCGTTTTACGAGCCATTTTGTTGACAAACCTCAAAAATGCTCAAAATTTGTGGTTTTAAGAGATATCAACAAAATTATCCAAGATATGATATCGGACGACCCAAAACTTTTATTGTATTAAACTTCCAATACCATGGGCCTACTATCTTAGGCCATAGATTCGAGTTTGCACAGAAATTCTTGTATGAAAAATTCAATCGAAAAAATCGTACCGCATTTTCGATAATTGAGCAAAAATCCCAACTTTGTTCAGATTCGCGGCCCTCTTTGGAGCCATAAAACGGTAAATCATTGCATGTTTTTGCTTTGATATATGGGAATTAATGTCCCTTCTATTCAATCAAATATATAGGAGTCAAGAATATAATCAAAATTGTGCTTGAAAATGGCTTGAAACGAAAAGGGCCGCAAATGATCACTTTGACGGCTTCTGGCGGTTTCTGACGCTGTTACTTGATATGTATTAAATAATATATTCATCATTGAATGTCTGGAAAAGTTAAAAATGATGTTAGAAGAATATCATCTATATTTTTTACGCCGAAACAATTGATACATTCGGAGTAAATGGTCGATATCTGACGTAAAGATGAATGCTTTCCTTCACGAGATTTCTTGAACTCACAAATCTATTGAAGTGATGGCAAAATTTCACGTTTTATGCTACAACTTGCTTAGCCGTCGACTGAATTTTCTAGATTTAGTCCTCCTCAATCCATTTAAGATGTTCAAACTATATAATTTGGCTTTGGGTTGCGGGAGTTCAGCATTATTCGAAAGCCATCTGCGAAAATTGGGCCATTTTTGAGGCCTTTACATGGTATGGGTACAACTCGCAAACTGATCATCCGATTTGGCTCAAATTTTGACTGAGTTCTAGTTAAGGATGGTTTTATCTAAAACTAATGTGGATTTGGCAGTATTTTCGTTATTTCTGTATCATGCCAAAGACTTTTCAGCCCATGTAGTATTATTATATAAATACCTTGTTAAAATTATTGAACCTGATGGTTTCATTATGAACCGTTGGTATGCAAGGGCCATCAAACTTACAAGTATCCCACTTCCAAATGTCATGCGTCGATTTTATAGGGAAATCATTGTCTAGAATAGAATTCAGAATTATAGAATCTGCACGGACCCAAGTCTTAATAAATTACCTTTCACACTTAAATAGATGCTGTTGGATTTGTTGACATTCGAATTCGAAATATCTTCGATATATAGTTCAATGGGTTGGGAAAATGTCGATGAATTCTTCACACAAAAGTATAATCCAACAGACTTGTAATCAACATCCCGGAGACTAAGATGGACTTTATATTGATACGCATTTAAATTTTCATTTTCAATAGTATCATCATTTGGATTGTTGTACAAATTATATTTTGTTTCGTTTAATTTGGCTGCTAGTAGGAATAGTTCAGATTCCACAAAATTCCATGCAAACGGAGCTGTCCATAATGATGGAAATTCAGTCCATGCATCGGTCCAACGTATCGGTTCATCTGCTTCACATGTGATGATAATATCATCATGTTTGCTAACTATAATATTTTTTTCTGCATTGCGGTTCACCTTAATTATTGGCTTATTTTCATTGGTAGCGGCTTAAAAATTGAAAAAAAAGAGGAAAGTTAACACTCTCTCGGTCGACATATTCAATATGCTTCGTATAGAATATTTAGAAGTGTTTTTAAGCGTAGCTAAAAGTCCCGCTATTGCGAACAGGTCACTTATTCTAGTTCATGAGTTCATATATAATTTGTATTCAAAATTAATATGGAAATTTCAAATGTCACGCACTAAGGGAGAAATCACTGTACAGAATTATAATTTTTTGGCTCAAAAATTACTTTCATTACTTTTTTTTTCTTCATAAAAACATTCTTCTAGTTGTAGTAGCTTAAGTTATGTGTGTAATTGTCATGACATGCATTTGTGTGAGTGATTCGTGCATTCATAATAAAAAAAGAACGCCTTCCAGTAGATAATAGTAAAGTGCTTTTAATTAGAAGATTGCTCACTGGCAGCGCAGAGTAGCTGTCCCGAGATAAGTTTCATTCGAATACACACAAGACTCGAATAAACTAACTACTAACCAGGATTCTTATTTTGTTTTCAAATTGCGTGATACTTTCAAATATTATCAATTTTGGTCTAAAAATAACAGTAGACTTCGCGAATCGTGCGATATGAGTCACATTTTATCTTTAACAGCGATAGAAACATTGAAAGTTCAGTACAAATTTGAAGGAATTTCTTAGGGAATTTTTTCCAAAATTTCTGGTTTCATTCGATGATCGATCCGACCAATTTGGATCCGACCTTTCCATTGATTTTGTAATATTCTCATTGGAAAGTATGATTTTCAAAATTTATTTTAGAAAAAAAAAATTAATCAAATTCTCCATCTGGGGAGGGAGATAGACCCTGAGAAAAATATCGAAAGTCACTGGTCGAAAAATCGACCACTGGTAGTTAATGGGTTAATTGAATCGAATCAAATAACAAAAATGAATTATCATACTAGATTGCTTACCATTGATTGAACAAAATACAACGATGAGAACGATTGAACTGAAGCAATTCAACTCGACACTAGTCCACATTTTCAGTGAAAATATTGACCTCATCACAATGTCAGCTCGTCTTTCCATTAGTTGAATGATCTATATGATTGCCCTTCAATTCATCAATTCATAAATTTATTCAGTAGCAGTAATGAAAGTCAAAATTTGTGATCTTTTAGCTTAAGTTTGTATGTAAATCACGATCGCTTTCGCCGTTCACATTCTTTTCCGTTGCATCTGGGTTTTGCACATTTTTTCATTTATATTTTGAACATTTGGCCTTTCACTTTATGTAAATTCAAATTGATTGATTTACTTCAATATAATTCAATACTTGCATTAGTACTCGCGTAACTATTTGAATAATTAGGAATTATGACTTTTAGCATCAAGCCTAAAGAGCGTTTTGACACTGACTGACCGATTAAATATAATATCTCCCAGGATGTGGTCACAACACGTAATCAGCCAAATCACAAAACAAACATTTCCAAGAAACCGAAAAAAGCAATTAAACTGATGATTTTTTAAGAATATTTTTCGTCAAATTTCTTAAATTTTATCTTTTAATGTTGCCACTGAGTTTTAATGTTGTGTTTTTCTGTATTTAAATAAATGCTGTTAAAATATAATCTTTATCTGACATCACTTCGATTTCGACAAGAAATAAACTAACAATATCACAAGTTCGTTTTCACTACTATAGTATAGTGTGTGAGATGCGGGTGTTCGTAAGGGAATTATCTCTTCATTTGTATATGTTTATGTGTTGTGTTTATGTTTATGTGCTGTGATTCATTTGATGCGAGCATAGATGCGATAAAAGGGAATTGGAAAAACAAAAATAACTGATAGCAATATCTCGCTTTCAGCGTCACATGGCCCTCGGACAGATATATGTATTTACGCATATCCATTAAAATTCAAATCGTCACAATAACAGTACAATTCCAAAAAAATTACAATAATAACTTAGTATGCGAGTCCATTTGGAGTACTGTACAGTATATTGATCCTATGGAAATGATAAAATATTTGGCTCTGTGGGCTTATGTGTTATCTGAAACAGCATAAAAATATAAATTGTATACGCAATTTGTATGGAAACTGGCGACTCTATTTCACGAGTCTGTAAATGATTCAAAAACTCAATGATTAGTTTCGACATATAATTGAGGCTGTGAGAATGAAAATGGCAATATAGGAATAAACATTTTTTTTTCTTGATGCGCTTCAGAATGTTTATTCCTGTATTGCCATTTTCATTCTCACAGCCTCAATTCACATTACAATATTATTTCTTGTTCCGATTCCCTTTTCTCTGTAGTAATTCAATTTGATTATGAAATGTTGCTATCAATTCTTCTTCTTGGATTGCACTTTTTCGTTGAATTTTTTCAATCCGTGTGTATTTTGTATAACTGTTGTTGTTCAGATTTGATAACTAAAGTCAAGTTTAAAAGAAAAACAGAAATGATTATTTGATGTTAGTAACTAAAATTACGGGATGAAAAAGACTAGATTTTGTGTGCGAATTCGTGCAAGCCATACGAATCGCATACGAATGATAATTGAATGAAATAAGTAGTGATACACTCACAAACGTCGTTTGGACACACACAAACGGGAATTCGCCCAAGCGAATTCAACCTTACTACCGTTGACATGTTGTACAATTTAATATTGGATTTTGACGGCCATCATATACGCCACAATATATGCCACCATGCGGAATGATAATGTACAATATAAATTTCTAGCTTCATCACAGTTTTTGAGCTGTGTGTAATTTTATTTTTCTTTAAATACATCTTTGTTCATATATTCAAATACGAACGAACTTATGTCCAATTTCACACTCTTTATCAATAAACACCGCGAATAGAAAGAAAAGTCAGTTTTTCAACTAGACTAATTGAGTTTTTCAATGGACATTGGACATTCTATTGTATAAATGTAAATAAAATTGATGATGATAAACTGAAAATAATATCTCTATATAATAATAATAATAATAAAACTCTAATTGAAATTAAAATATTTCATTAGATTTGATTTGATTTGTAATCTATTTAAATAAGCATTTATTTTAACACTTACAACATTTATACTTGTATGCTGAAGTGATTCATTTGAACATCTGGTTGTAATGTAGTTGAACAAAAATAGTACGACTAGCACCCACAAAAAATCCATGTAAATATTTGTTGAAGAAAAAATTGCTTCTTCAATTCATTGCTAGAAAAATATTTAACAGTGATCGAAACATGTTAAAACTTGATAAAAATAAACAGGCTTTGTTATGCGCTAAATCTATCACGCTGAATAAATTCATGCAATAAATGTGATGCGCTTGCTTTGCGGTGAACGAAGTCTGTTGCTCTTCATTTGTTCACGCATGAACGTTTATGCTTTGCAGTGAACGCATCACATTTATCGCATAAATCTATCGCATGAATTTATTCAGCGTGATGGATTTAGCGCATAACAAAGCCTGAGAATGAAGATGTTTTCTGACTCTGATACGCTAAATTCTGCCGACGGTTTATTCAAACGCATTATTCCAACGAAAGCTCAGTTCCATGCGATTTTCTCTCAAATGTATGTTTGAAGGCCTCATTTCTCAGATGACTTCACATTGTTTCAAGTGCACTGTTTTTCGAGTTTTATTCGATCCTAAATCAATTATTTATGATTAACAAAACTACTGCGGTGAAATGCCAAAACTTCACCTTCATTTTACTTTGGCGTCAATTTTGTATATACTCGAATTAATTTTGAATCCATCGTAGATACATTTTTTATAGACGAAAGAAATTCTATTTTCTTTATTGATAAGACTTTCAAAAGCATTTTAATGATAACATTTAAAGCATACAAGTAGATTAGGGAATTGTGTGGTGTGTGGTCAATATAAAGAATCAGGATCGAAATTCAAACAAATTATTCGATTTGCCATACACAGAAACACACACATTTATTTTATAAAATTCACATTAATTAAAAAGTAATTATTAATAAATTGTTCATGTGGTTACATATTCAAAATAACAAGAGTTGTACAATTGGTAACATTAAACGTAGATTTATTGTGCTTTAGGCTTACTTTACTGTGTATGCCATACAATTTCAATGATATTACTGAATATATTATTATTTTTCCTATTGGACAATAGGGTAGTCCAAACTGATTTATCATGGTAAGGTATATGCTCCCAATAGCTTAAAATTAAATTGGGCTCAAAACTAGTTGATTCCCATTTTCAGATCAAAAAAATGTTAAAATCTAATGGTCAATAGAGCCGTACTTAAAATGGCTGTTTTTGACCTTATTTGAAAACACAAAATCGAAATTTCGTTTGTTTTTTACCTATTTTTCAAAATATATATTGATAGAAAACCCATAGGTGATTCAAATGGAATCTGTTGACATATTATTTTTAGGGCTTTTTGGGACGCTGAACACGAATCGGTTGTAAAAAATTATCTAATGTTGCTTTTTAAAAAAGCTTTAGTACAAAAACATGGTTTTTTTTAACAAATTCAGCCATATAGCAAAAATACATGGTTCCAAGTGTATTTTTAACACCAAATTTGAACTCAGCGCCTCAAATTATCTTAAGATTGACTATGCTGATGACAAAAATCGAATAATCTCAGAACTAAAATTTTCTAGTAGTGTTCACGTATAGAAAAAAATCACATTTTTTCACGTATTTTTCCACCAGAAGTAAATTTTTGTTCAAAGCAGCCATTTTCATGGTTTTTTAGGCCGCAGAATTCGAATCCACCCAAAAAGAAATAACCAAATTTTCAGTGGGAAAAATTGATATTTTTCCATACATTTATACGAATTTTTTTGCGTTTTTTCGGTTTTTCTTCCATAACTCGTACCCCATACGATAACATGCATTCCAAAGACAGCTTTTATTCTTCAAATCGCTACGTGTTGACCTAAAACTATCAATCAAACGGGTCTCATGCATCCACGTGTATATGGATTTGTTTTATGAATAATGTTGGATAATTCGTTGTTTTCTCTGATATCACTCCGGCTCATCCGCCGAAATTATAAGATATAAAAACAAATTGCATGTTGAAATGAGATAAATATTTATTAATTTAAAATTTTAGATCTGAATAACGATCTGAGAATAAAAATGTGCACGCAGAAGCATTTATACTCAAGCGCAACATGATTATTTTTCCTTTAAAAACTCCCTTTTTTGTGCAAACGATAAGAGGTAACGGAATGTTATCATCCAACAAAGTTGTAAAATCGGTCAACTAAACTCATTCGCTGAACTCATTAACCCGTTACCTCTTATTCGTTTCTGTTGAAGCGGCAATCCATATTTTGCTTCAGTACAAACACTTCTGTATTCCCACTTTCATTATCAGCAACACATTTGAGGTTTGTATTGAGCTGCTGCCTATCCAATGATTGTATCAGTGCTTAATTCGTTTTTAATGTCGTTCATTAGAAACAGCATTGGAAATGGTGTCAATGTTTGTTCGTCGAAACGGTATCACTTGATTCAGCTTCAATTGTTAAATGTTCCAGTAAATTAGCTCCATGACGCCAGCCCCGCCCGGA